TTTTTTTTTTTTTTTTTTTTTTTTTTTTTTTTTTTAAGATAAACCAATTGCAAAAGCGAGCCTCAAATATGGTGACCCTTGCTATAAGGATTGGGTTGGATAGAATTTTTTTTAGACCTAATCGGGTTCGAGTTGAGTATGGGTTTAGTGGACAAAGGACTGAGGCAACCCGACCCAATCTAATTATATGTAAAATAAAAAAGAAAGAGAAATAGAATAACAAGAGTGGCCCGAGCACAAGCCCAACGCCCCCAACCCGAGTTTCCCTCCTCATGTGGCTTTATCTACCATATGCGATGCCAACACATTGTGCAGTGTCTACGTGTAGGGCGTATGTGTACTTGTAGACCGGACTTAGACTGAAGTGTTTGCATCACGTCACTACCTTTCCATTTTCGAGTTTCATTTGCTTTGTTAGCTTTGCGCTTGAGTGAGTAGCATAGAATTTGAGAGCATCGCATCGGGTTTGAGAGCAAAGGGTTCAAGTACCAGTTATCTTCGTTTCATATTGTCTCAATCTTACATTTGTAGTCAGTATTCAGTCATCAAGTTCTCATTTCGATTCACTGTTAGCTTACAGTTTTGTGTTTGTCGCTTCCTAGTTGCTCAGCTTTATCCTCGAGTGCTTCGAACATTAGAGTTTTTCTTCTAAACATCCCAAACCGAACCCAAAAAACAGTGGAGTAGGTTGAGTTACTAATCTAATCAACTCGACCCATGTACACCCCTATTGATATTAAAACGTTCGAGAATCAGTCACAATTATTTTGAATTTTCAACTTACAAAAATAGTAAATATGTTGATATTTTCCTCATTTATTATATTATAGTCCATGTTAATTGAATAAAGTTTAAATTAAATTAGTCCCTATTAATAGTTTGAATTTAATTTTACAAAAGTTGATTAATTAATACATTAAAATAGAGTGGGGAGTTGGGCCAGGTCAGCGGTCAGCGGTCAGGTCAACAAAGAATGGCCTTCCTTTGCTGCCCAGCTTCAGCCATGGGCCCTTTAATTCAAGAAACAGAAGAATGCTTCTTTTTTTAGTTATATTCAAATTATTACTATTATTTTAAAATAAATAAATAAATAAAAGAGAACGGGTTTTTTTTTTTTATAAAAATATACAGACAAATTTCAGCGATCGAAGGGCTGAGATTGAATCACTGAGATCTCTCTCCATCTCAGCCGTAATTTTCGGTCCACTACTCCTGAAAAAGGCCTTACATTCGTCCCTCAAAAGCCCACCTCCTCCACTCTCCGTTTTCCTCTCCTCCTCTCTTCCTCTTCCTCTTCCTCTTTCACCCTCTGATCCCAAATCCACCGGTCCTCAGATCCAATCTCCATTTCCTAGCAATGGCTACCGCCCCCTCTCTTCGCGAGGAGAATGTTTACATGGCCAAGCTTGCTGAGCAGGCCGAGCGCTACGAGGAGATGGTCGAGTTCATGGAGAAGGTTTCCGCTTCTATCGACAAGGAGGAGCTCACCGTCGAGGAGAGGAACCTCCTCTCCGTCGCCTACAAGAACGTCATCGGCGCTCGTAGGGCCTCTTGGCGTATTAT